CCTGGGAGGTAACAGATGATGGCCATGTGCATGGACCACTGCCACCCATGACTCAGAAACCCAGGCTCCTGCCTTTGGCCTGGCCCAGCCCTGACTGTTGTGGGCATCTGGGGAGTGAAGCCAGTGGATGAAGAGTTCTCTGTCTGCCTGTCTCTGTCTTTTCAATAAAATTAAAATAAAAACTTGAAATAAAAAAAAAAGGGAAAGGGAGAAGCAGTAATACTTACTCCATTATGCTCAAAATATTTTGGCAGATAATCATGCTTTCCTTATAAGTGCGTATTTTATATTTATAATACATCTCAGCTTGGACAAATATCATTTCAAGTGCTCATTGGTGAGATACGGCCAACAGCTACCACACTGCATGGCACAGCCCCAGACACAGCACAGCAATGGGTGTGACAATGCAGGCATCACTGTTTTCTAAGCACTAGGGCCTGTGTCAAGGATCTTACATCTCTGTCATTCCAGCCTGCTTCCGGCCCCGTGTGAGTAATCTCGAAGAGGCGGCTGTGAGTCGTCCTCAACCCTGCTGTAACCAGACTGCTCAGCACAACCCAGAGGGCAAAGACGGAAGAGCTGGGTCAAGAGCCTGAGTGAGGCTGCAGCAAGTCAGGAAGGCTCTGGCAACCTGAGTAAGGATTACAGGGGGGAGATGGGGAGCAGGGCCGGTGAGAAGCACAGGGCTGGTGAGCTGGGGCTCATGGCAGCAAACACCATAAACACAGGGGGGATTTGCCAGAAGGCTCCTGAGGAAGCTCAGAGACCAGCTCAGTCCAAGGCAGTCCTGGCAGCAGTCTCAAGGGCCACCGTCAGCAGGGTTCTCAGCCGAACAGCACCTCAGGCTTATCTGGGGAGCGCTTACAATTCCCAGGACAGAACAATTCTTGGTGTTGAACAGGTAACCCCAGGACCCAGCCTTCCTCACACAAATGTGTGCCTGAGGGAAATGGATATGCAGCAAAGGCATTAATTTTTAAAAATCTTTCAATATTGAGGCTCGAATCCAAACCAGTAAAATCTACATGGCTGAGGACAGGCCGTGTTGGTGGTTTTCAAAGCAAGTCTATCGTTGTACCCATCAGCTTTTTATCACAATGAAACACCAAAGGCAACCAACTCAATAAATACATAAGGCTTACTTTTCTCTTCTTTTCTGGAGGTTCAAGTTCAGGATCGAGTGGCCTCACCTCGTGAGGACAGCAGATGGCAGAGGCAGTACTTGTGCAGGGGGAGGAGCCCGTGGAGAGTCAGGAAGTAGAGCAGATGCAGGACCAAGCCCCTCCAGCACTTCGTTCCTGCCTTTCCTCGAAGTACCATTACCTGATGCCTTTGGGGGTTTACAATCCCACAAGAGTTCATAAGCCAAATCCCATCCAAACCAGAATAAACTTGAAGCCGGAGTTGGACAGCCCTGTCCTGCGTCAGTGCTCAGACTTCGAGTTGCACAGAGACCCACCTGTGAGTCATGAGACAGAGAATTTAACAGGAATGGCCCGAGCTTCTGCTCCCAGCAGCCTTCACCACTGCAGGTTTGTGAATATTACACTTCACTACCCAAAAAAACGTCTTTCTGGCCTGGTCTGGGTCATGTGCTGCCCTCTGGGACTGAGTAATTCTGTGTCATCACTCTATCAGGAGGGAGAGCTACAAGGAAGAGAGCTGCCCACTATAGGGAGCTGGATCAAAAGTGGAGCAGCCAGGACATAAATTAATGCCCAGATGGGATGTAGCTATACATGCAGTGGCTTAATCCACAACCCCACAATGCCAGCCCCAGTAACACTTGTCTGTGACCCTCGGCCCATGCTCTGCTATTACTGTTGAGTGAGGAAGGGTCAACAGCAGTGACCCCAGAGAGGAATCGCAGCTGGGGCACACTGAGGATTACCCTTGGGAAAAGGCAGGCGTCTCTAAGTGCTGTATTTGCACACAGAGCTTCCTGTCGAGACTGTTCCGACAATCTTGCTTTCCAAAGCGCCACTGGATAGGATACCCACATCCCACGCACCTAGGTACAATACCAGCACCGGCCTTTTCACTATTTCCTGCTTAAAATGCATTGTAGGAAGCAGTGGATGGCAGCCCAAGTACTCAGGTCCCTACCACCTCCATGTGTGTTCCCAATTCCTGGCTTGTTTGGCCCGGCACAGACCTAGTGTTACGAGGAATGATCCAACAGAGAAGCGCTCTGAATTAAAAACTTGATATAGGGGTGCTTTTGTGAGAATATTTTTAATTTAAAAAGATTATAAATTATTCTGTACAGTATTCTAGGGAATTCTATCAAACTCAGGCATTCACATATGGGAAGCAGGCATCCCAACCTGCATGTGAACTGCTGCACCAAACACAAACCCCCCTCTGCGAAGTTTCCCAAGTGCAGACTCTGTTTTCCTGAGATAATCACAGATTGCAGCCATCCTGTGGCAAAGGTGCTACAGGTTTCTCCTGGCTTTTACTATGCTACTTACATTTTCATCTATTATCCAAGAGTGCTCCAAAAAGTTAATAAAAAATGGAATTAAAGATGCACGGGTTGCCACATGTTGAAATTCTTGATGGCTTTTCCTAACATTAAGAGCTTTTTAAACATTTCTTATATGCATGTATTTCAACTTTTTTTTGCACCAACATTAACTTTTTAATTCCATTTTCCATGAGCTTTCAAAACCATAGCTCTTTGTTAAATCATAGCTCTCTCCTGCCATGCAGAGTTTCAAAACTCTCCCATGGACCAATCATTTCACTGTGGCATTTTGGGGGTGTAGACTAAGGCAAGATGAACCTCTGTTCTTTTTTAGAGTAACAATGGTTAAAAAGACTAGATTGGGGGCAGTGGCTTGGTGTCCCAGGCTCTGCTCTCTTTACAGACTGGTTCTCTAAGTCTTGGTCTCCTGAGATCTGACATGGAGTAAGCACCCCTAAATCTAGTGCTCCTTGTGGGAGTTAGAACTGACTCCCAGGGGCCTATCTTGGGTAAAACCACTGCCTGCAAAGCCAGCATCCTCTGTGGGTGCTGGTTCAAGTTCCAGCTGCTCCAGTTCCAATTCAGTTTCTTGCTAATGGTCTGGAAAAAACAGCGCAAGGACAGCCCACACACTAGAAACCCCCAAAACTCACATGAGACCCAAATGTCTCCCAATTGAAGAGACCTGAATGCAGCTCCTGGCAGCGGCCAAGCTCAATCCTGATTGTTGTGGCCTTCTAGGGAGTGAACTAGCAAATGGAAGATCTCTCCCTCTCTGTGTGTGACTTTCAAATAAAAGTTAGTTTTAAAAATCCCCTCCAAACCCTGCCCCCGCAAAAAAAAAAAAAAAAAAAAAAAAACCCTGACACCTAACTGGGCAGTGGTAACTGTTTTGAACCCAGGACAAAAGAGCTTAGAACTTAGGGACTAAAGGGCTCCTGCCACAAAAGCAGCACAGACAGGTGAGAACAGGTAAGATGCTTTAGCCTTCCCTCCCTCCCCTGGGGCAGATAAACAATTCTCTCTCCGGTCCAGCACACATTGAATCCCCCAGATGGCTCACAGGTTATTCAAAGGCGATATTGCCAACTTGCCTGCAGGGTGGACTTCCAGACCTTGAGTGAGGATGCCAGTACATAAATCACCTCCTTTGTATAAACAACACAACTTCCTGAATGAAACAGGCAAAGCCAACTTACCCAGAGCTTCAGAAATTAAAGGCCCACAACAATCTTAGAAGCATTTACTGGAAAAGGACAAGGCCTTCAATTTACTCTTCCTCTATATCCAAGCTATGTCCATTCAAAGGAACATCCTTGAAGGACAAGGCTATGACCTGAGACTAACAGTAGCCCTTGTGTCTTCATCTTCTCTCAGTCTTTATGGGTGTCAGCAGGTTCCCGCCTCCGTGTACACAGCCTTCCCAGAGCAAGCCCTTTGTCTCATCAGGTCTGCTCTGGCTCCAGTCTCCATCCTCCACCTCCCTATACCTGAACCCTGACACTTGCTGCTAAAACCGCACGATCACTCGCAAGAAACACAAGTCAAAGCCACTTGCCTGACTGTGAGTTCCCATGCCAAGACAGCTGGAAGGCTCCCAGACACTGCCACGCTCCAGCAATGCTGAGAACAGGGAAGGCTTAGGCCTAAGGGTAACATGACTCAGCCAGTCACTCAATTACCATTAGAACTCAGAACTTCAGTGTTGGAACCCCAGTTAAGGTGGCAACAGGCTGTTTTGGGCCAACCTCTGGATAAGCATAGGACATTTTTCATGAGATTGGTGCTATTATCTCATCTTACAGATGGAAAAGACTTTTAAAAAAAAAAAGACTTTTAAAAAATGTTTTTATATATACATATATTTATATTTATGAGTCTCTCATGCGTAACAGAAACCCAAGTACACGTGTATTACCTTATGCCTTCTACGCACATTAGCAGGAAGCTGAATCAAAGTGTGGAACAACTGGAACTCAAACCAGGCACTCTTACAACAAGATCCCAAGCTCATTACAACACAGGACCCTACTCTGAAACCAGAGCTTTAAACTTAAGTTCCCCTATTTAGACATTCATTTGGAAAAGCCAGAGGGGCTGGGTTCCCACTGGCAAGGCAAGCAGACAGGGAATGTCCCAGTGGAAACTTCTGGCCAAGCTATCCCCAAAGAACTCAGGTCTTGGAGGAGGACCATGGTTGGACCCCAACCTACTTGTACTAACAACTGCCTTCTTCACTCCCCAGCCCTCAACCTCGTCACTACCAAAACAACAACAAAAAAAAACCACAATAATAAAAAACTCAAGCTACAGGTCATATAATTCAAGATTTATGTAAGTTTAAATTGCTGAAGTCACTTACTTTTAAATTGCACAATGCTGAAGCCAATCTTAAAAAGAATCAAACACACCACACTGCAAGGTCATCAACGAATTTTTTTTTTTTTTAACAAGTTTATACAGCAAAAATCCCCAGAGGACCATCTGTCCCCGCCAGTCCCCCAGTGTGCAGGAAGCCAGGGCAGCCCTGGCCGGAAGAGCCAGGATGGGCAGCTGCACCCCACAAAATTAACTCAGATGACGCCAGGTGGGAAAGTCTTGCATTCCCTTTGTTCTCCAGTGTATCTTGTACAAAATATTACACTTTTTAAAACATATTTACAAAGTTTGCACAAATAGAAAATGGTTACAAATGCTAACCAGGCTTGGCAAGATACTGGCTTCCCATCCTTACAGTGACCAAGGCTGGAGCTATGATCACCGCTTCATACTGATGTCTGCATTTTAAAAAGTCTGGGTACCTAGTGCCCTAGAAAAAGTGTATAAAAACTGGTGACGCCATCAATTAATTTAGGTGAACTATACACGTAATTAATACCCATTCATCAGCTCATGTCTTGCTCCCTGAACAAAGATTGGGGAATAGAAAAAATCTTATCCAGCAAACTACGTACAAGCCTTGGCCTGTTTGTTGTAGCTCGTCTGATTTGTAGTAGGGAAGGAGAGCAGACGGAGGAAGAGGGTAAGGAACAGGCGCAGGGTGTGGAGTAGAGGGACAACCTAAGAGCACAATTTTTCTCCCTTTTTTTCTTGTTTTGTTTCGTTTTTATAAACAGCTTAGAGCCAGGCGAAGCCAGCCGGCTTGCTCCATGCCATTCCATGGCTTTGCACAGCACCCACACTTCCACCCTTTCTTCTCAGAGACTAAGCATCTTCTCAACAGGACTACAGGAGGGGCAGGGAAGAAAAGGACTTACTGGAGGACAAGGATTATTATTCTGATGTTAAACTTTTGCCTTGAGGGCCAAGCCCAATTTTACAGTGCAAAAAAGACTCCAGAGAGGGCTGTGGAGCCCAGGGTCAAAGGTTTGCGTAGTAGCTGTCCACCCACTGAGCCAGGCCTCGCTCCACCAGCGACCGGTTTATCAACACCACCTAGAAAAGAAAGTTCCCTTGAGAGCTTTGCCCATTTCAACCCCCTGGGACCATGGGGTGTGGGAGGAGGAAGAACAGAACTCATTTTCCAGCCAACAGGGCATTGACTTAAACATTGTGTTGGCTACTTTGACAAGGACAGCCTATTTTAATGTGCTGAAGAAATCCAAGGTTTAACAAAATAGATGGAGAAGGAAACTGAGTGGACAAAAGGTCCTTAAAGGTCTGGAGCGGGTTTTCCACCTCAGCAACACAGATGGGGAATGACCTGGGCAGTGGGCAACCCTGGCCTCTGTCTACTTCACACTCATATCCCCCATGATGGCACCCAAAGTATCCCTTGGGGGGTGGGGAGGCGTGCAATGGTCTACAGTTTTATCCTCTGATGAGTTCTAGACACAGAACCACCAGGACCAGCTCCAAATCAGTCCACCGCTGCTGGCTGGTGATTGATACAAACCAAGGGCAGCACTCACCTCATCTCCAGACACACTCCAGAGCTGGATCAGCGGAAGGCCAGTTGGACTGTAACTTGTGACCTACAAGGAGAAGAGCACATATCTGTTAACCCAGGCCCAAGCCATTGAAAGAAAAGAACTTAAAGATCAGCTCCCAAGAAGCCCAGACATGATTAAGTGAAGTGACAGACTCCTCCAACAGCCTCTGCTCATGTCCCATCCAACTACCACCACATACCTGAGCCAGCAGTGCTGTATTTCCTGTCATTTCACTCATGGCTGCATCTGCTTCAGGTGAAAAATGGTCATCATCTTTGGAAAGAAAAGCAAAAGCAGCACTTAGACTTCCACCAAGGAAAAGCACTTGTCACTCACACAGTTGCAGATGTGTCCCAAGTACAATGTTCTAGAAGTGGAATGAGAATCAAGAACTGCATTTGCAAGAGTCATCACACCAGGTACAGCGCCCTATACCTCCACATGACTTCATGTGGAAAAACACGGGGTCCCTGCTCCAAGACAGACGACAAAGGGCCAGAAACCATCAACAGCGCCCATCTGGGTGCCAACTGTGCTGGGTAACCTACACATTTCCTTCCTCCAGATAAAGGACACCTAAGGGAAGTCGGGGAGAGCAAGGAGGCAAAGGGTGACTGCCAAAGGTCAACCAACTCTGGGTGATACAGACAAAATTCAAATCTAGGAGGTGGCTAGACAGCCTGATTTGGAAGGGCAGCACCCTACAGCAGGCCAGCACTGAGGGAGCACTCTGGCTGGCTGATTATAAAGGCTGTGTATGAGAACATCCCATGACAAACGGCAGTAAGCATGGGAGGCAAGTGTTTATGAAGATCTGTGAAAGTCTTATGAGGGAGAGAGCATTTTAGCTGGATTAGACAGACTGCTCAGGTGGACAGAGAATGCAGGTGGGCAGAGAAAGAAATGAAAGGAAGCTCCTGCCCCAGTGCTCTTTCTGCAGTCATTCCACGTGGGCTGTGGCATGTCTAACACACTTACACTTGTACTAGTTTGCTTGGTAAGATTTCTTCTATTCCCCAGTCTTTGTTCAGGGAGCAAGACATGAACTGATGAATGGGTACTAATTACGTGTATAGTTCACCTAAATTAATTAATGGCGTCACCAGTTTTTACACACTTTTTTTTAATATATACTTAGTGAAGTATGAACAAGACACATCACAGAGCTGGGGAGGGGGCAATGGACTGAACACAACAGAACATTATCTAAAATGTAAAATCCTCAGCAACAAATAGTTTGGTGAATATCACTCGCCTATTCTTAGTTTTATGTAATTCTCAATGCCACCCTGAAAAAATGGGGGTCATCCCCACTTTCTGGAGGGGAAAACTGAGCCCAAATTGCTTGCCCAAGATTGCTCTGGCAGATGGCACAGTCCCCACAGGCATCAAGGAGCTGTGCCCTGGCTGGACAGTGCTGTCGGCCTCAGTGCCTGCCCTCCATGGCAATCTGGGCCTGGACTGTGTCCTGAGAAGTCTTTGTCAGAGGCTAGATCAGCAGCACTGGCCTCCTTCAAGCCTTATTTCATCAGAAACTCTGCCAAGAATAGCAACCCACTTGCATGAGCCCTCCAGAAGCAGAGGGATCCTAAAAAGTCCTATTTCCATGGCCCATACCAATGGTAGAGGCCCCATCTCTTACCTGACAGGGGCATCACACTGTCCAGAAGAACTTCTGCTCCCTGGAATGGCAGGGTCACAAAGTCAGACCTGGACAGGCAAGCAAAGAACTGGATTAACATGGACCTGAAGGCTAGCTCCACTCAAAGACACTGATTAATGGCCTTTTGCTTAGTGTGGCAATATCTGCAATGTCATCCAGTAGAAGATCCATATAACAAGGCCTGCCACAGTACACTGCACATCCAAGTACAGGAGTCAACCCCAAGCAACCCTGGCCTCCCAGGACTTTCTGCATCAAATTTCCAAACTGAAGCCCACTTCACTTCTAAGGCATACTTGAATGGAATTCTGCCACAGGACAACCTTCCTTCCTAGTTCAGTTTGGCCTATGGCAAATGATGGAGTTAGTTCATATGCTAAAATAGAAGGGCAACAGGAAGGATGTATACCAAGCTACCCATTCCCCCAACAAGCAAGGCATGTGCCTGTCTGGGGAGTTAGCACTCACCTGATTTGTCGGAGCTCGTCTACTTTCACTCTCTTATAGCCACCGTAGTCCACATAGCGAATCTCAACTTCATTGGTCTCCTCATAGGAGGCAACCACCTGGGCTCGCCACCAGGCCCCATCCAGGCCAGGGGCCGCACAAATGACCGTTACTGCAGGGTGGAAGAATAATGTGTGGACTCAAATGACTTAGGGCTGGGACTGACCACTGCTGCCCACCTCCTCCCTGAGTCCTGGCTTGGAGGCCAGTACTGCATGGGAAGGGACAGGAATAGTAATGTACCTCCAAAATTTCCCTGGAGCCAAGAGGAATCAAGGGAAGGGCTGGACATGGAACTCAGCCAAGCATGCGTGTCACCCTCAAAGCTAGCCAGATAAAAACATTCATTGCAGACCCAAAGCTCTGAAATGTACTAAAGCCAGAGACGACACAGACTAACCAGAACAAACCAAGTAAAAACCCAGGGACCAGACCCTAATTTATATTCCTGAGTACAGATCCTAGTAGCTGGGTACTCAGAGTCCGCCCCTTCTAACTGACTCTTAGGATAATGGCAGCCATGTCTTCCAGTCTTTATCTCAAGAAGGTGCTCAGGGTACAGAGTTGTGGGCTAGAGACACCAACCTTCGCCTTGGGGCAAACGATGTGGTAAGGGTCCCCAGGATAGCCCTGGCAGCTGCCCTAAGCCATCTGGGATGAGGATTTGAGACATGGGGCTGGCTATACTGGATCCTACCCCTTCAAGGGAGCCCCAGTACAAATGTCTTCCAGACTCAGGTTCAGTCTTTATTGTTGGGTTGAAGCAGCTTTAAGGATTCTGATGAAAACTAAATTCTCAATTTTCGGGAAAAACTACATAAAATGCTATGGTTTCCTAATGTCTTAAAATTCATCAGGAAACCCAGGACAGGAACCTTAATGGGGGTTGTAGAGTTGCGAATGGAGATGTTAAAACCCCACAGATAGGACAGCAAAGGTGACAGTAACAAAGGACAGGCTCAGGAGTCAGATCAGGCTTGGATTCCAGTTCCTGCTAAGGTGTCCCCTGTGCAAGTCACTGCATTTCAGAGGCTCAGTTGTCACATCTGGTAACTGGACACGATCTAAGCCATCACACAGGTTTATTGGGATGAGGACTTTTCAAAGGAACCAGTCTTTTCATCAAGTATTTTTTGGGTATAGAACAGCCAACCTTAATTCCTAGAACAAGTAGTTACTGCTCCATTTACCATTATAACTGGGAGGACTGAGCTTTGAATTCATGTGTCGAAGCTTCACTTCCCTCCCATTGCTCCACAGTCAATGGCAACAGCAGTTTGGCCTGCTGGAAACTAGCACTCTAATAGAAGAAACTAAACTCCCTGACAATGGCAGGAACTCAGGGATGCTCTGCTCATGAAAGATCTCCCACCAGCTTCCTCCTCACCAGGAACAAGGACAAGATTTGCAATCCTCAGGATCCTTCCCCCACCCCCCAGCCCCCCGCTGACCTAGGCAGAGCCTGGGGATTCTTCCACTAGCCCCAGGACAACACTTACTTTCCACTGGGGTAGGCAAGGTAGGGATCCCTGGCTGAGAGTAGCAGAGGTACATCTGCTGGTCCAGGCTGCGCAGTGCATGGAAAGTAGGGTGTGTGTGCTGCTGCACAAACAGGTGCCCAGCATTGACCTGGTTGACCACGATGACTTCCACAGTGATGCCATCAGGCAGCATGAGCTGTAGAGGGGAAGAGCAGCAGGAAATGTGACAACCTTCAGGTAACAAAAACCTGGGACAAGTCCCTGAACTGGCATTTTAAAAATATGGAGCAATTTTGGGCCTGGTCAGATAGCCTAGTGGCTAAAGTCCTCGCCTTGAATGTGCCAAGATCCCATATCAGCATTGGTTCTCTGGTGGCCCCACTTCCCATCCAGCTCCCTGCTTGTGGCCTGGGAAAGCCATCAAGGTCAGCCCAAAGCCTTGGGACCCTGCACCCACATGGTGGACCCGGAAGAAACAGATTGGTTCTGTATATCTGATTTTTTAATAAAAATAAATAGAATCTTAAAATATATGGAACAACCCAAAACAACATGATGTCCGGATGGCAGCTGGTCAAGCTAGTTAGCCATGAGGTCCCCTCTCCTGTCTCCAGCAGTGGCCAATAGGGGGAGTGTCACTCCAGGGCAGCACAGATTGCCTCTGAACACCCAGAAGCCCAGTGCAGTGACATATAGTGGCCTGGGCAGAGTGCTTCTCCAGAGGTTCTCCCCTCTCCCAAATCCTGGATGAGTCTGCAAGATTCAGGAAGGGCAAACAGAGAATGAAGCAGACGCTGAGAAACAGGTGTCTGGGGAGAAGAGGCAGCAGCCCTCGGGCCCATCAGCCAGTTACTCTGAATCACCAGCTGACACTGGGAGTTCAGGATCCGACAGCAACATCTACTCTGCTTTCCTATTGAGTCTGTCCCATTGTCAAGTTTGTAATGGAGTCTGTGTCCTATTTGCTCTTCTTTCTACAGCTTCCCAGGACCTCTTCTTGCCTACATTCCAGACATCACTCAAGTTGTCACTTTGGGGTAGTAGGTTTGCCTAGCAGCCACACCCTACATTAAAGGCCCTGGAGGAACTCTGTCTTGGTTTCTAAAAGCCTTATTCTTCAACACCAGCTTTCCCCATGGCAGGCTACCAACAACATGTAGGGGTGCTGGGGCAACAGGGTATCTATTCCACCGCCCAGCCAGGTGTCTGCAAGAAAAACAGTCTTGGCCTCCACACACTATTCTCCCTAATTCAAGGCTCTGGGAGCACCTCTCTACACCAGGCAGGAGGGGAAGGAAACAAATCCCTCCATTACTTAACCAGGGTTTGGGCCAGGCCTTCTGGAAACAACAGTGTAACCTGGAGTAAAGAACAGAGCAGGACTCGATTCCCAAATACTCCTAGGGAAGGAGAGGGGGTCCCCATCCCTTCCTCACAGTACAGTGGTCTTCCTGGGGGAAGACAGAACTGAACGGTCCCCCAACCTATATCAAACCCAGCAGGACTAACCCATCTTGGAGAAGTACAGGAAACAGTCATTAGTCCACAGAACTCTGCACTCTTACTCCCAGTGAGAGAGGCCGGACCAGGGTCATGGGCTGTGAGTGACAGGCCCGAAACATCCTACAATCTCAGCAGGAAGGGGACTCTACATGTAGATCTCTGCTCCTGCCTGGCTCTCAAAGAGCCACCCAGTTTCTGGGTCTGATGGGAGATCTCTGTAAAAAGGTACTTCAAGAGGTGCTTGAAAAAACACAAAGTGATTTTTTTTTTAATGCAAAAAAGGTCTGAAATCTTAGTTACTTTGTAATAAGCAATTTCCACAAATATTTGAAGGTTCCTTCCTTGGTTAAATCACTCTCCTTTCGAGGCTAACGCCTACACAACTCACAAGGTGTCCAGGTGTCAGAGGCAAGGCAGAGTCATCTTTCTATAAGAGCCTCTGGTTTCCTGCCAGCACTAGACTCCTCTACCCTCACCTCCAGAGAACACAGCTGAGGCACAGGCCATGCTTATACTCTGGGCCTTCTGGGCTCAGATTCAGAGAGTTCTTGCTTTGGGGTTTTTGTAGGGAAAAAGGGCAGGAAAAGCTCTGCCCACCCAGGAGATGCTCACCCAGGATGTCATCGGTAGAGAAGGTAGTGCCAGGGAAGGCAGTGGGGGGGCGTAGATATTGGTGAGGTTCAGTTCCTTGAACTTCTTCCCAATCAAGTTCAATGCTTTGTCAACGTGATGCTGAGAGCCTAGATGTGGGTTGGGATGGGGAAACACACAACCACTGAGGTAAGAGGAAAATAACAGCACAAAGACATACGCACCCACTACCGTGCCCTGCAGGACTACGAGTTCCAAGGCATCTTTAAGGTGCTAAATGCTAAACTGCACTTTAGGGAGAAAAGCACACAAATTCATTCACTTCTCAAATGATACACCTTTGTAGTTTGATCAATTGGAGGCTGGCAGGTGGGAAAAAACCCTGAACTGGGGGTGAGGGGCTGAGGGAACATCAGGGCCCCTTCCACCTGGGATGATTATTCCGAGACTTGCATTCCAAAAGGAGAATGGCTGAGACTTGAATGTTTCACGGCAGCAGTTGCCACTAACCTTCTATGTGGCAGATCTGGATGTTCTGTGTGTAAGGCAGGGTTGAGATGTAGATCTTGGCACCAGATGTTTGCTTCAGGAAACTCACATACCGCCCCTGCTTGCCAATTAGTCGACCAACTAAGTGCTTCCAAAAAGAGAGATGAAAGGGTTATTGGGAACCAATCCCCTCTACTCCTAGAGACCCACTTTCCCTTTACAGGAGGTCAAGCTCAAACATATTAACGGTATCCAAGTCAGCCTCCAGAAACAGCTTTATAAACACTTTACAGATGAGGAAACAAGCCCAGAGAAGCTGAAGAACCTAACCAAGGCCACACAGCTGTTAAGCACAATAGGACAACTCCAAATTCACCTCTGAAAACATGGCTCAGATCTGAAAAGCTGTAAGGCACTATCTTCTCCAAAACTCATACTGAGAAGTTTTACCATCATAGATGCTGAGTGTGTTTCCTCCTACTCCTCCTCAAGCCTAGTCAAGCTCAAACATACAGAGGCTCAATCTGAAGAGGAAGGCCCAAGAACTCCTGGATTCCTGCTGCCCAAGTACATCAGGCTGGAGTCTTTACAGCCTGAGGCATGCAGTGCCCAGCGAGCTACAGGGCAAGGCAAACTTAGCCAGCAGCAGCCAAACTTAGTCATGATGTAAGACAAGTTCCGAAACAACCTCTACGAGCCCACCTCAGTGACACTACACCCTCCTCACTCAGAAGAGTCTCCCTGTGCCCTTGGTAAGCACTAGGAGAGAGGAAGGAAGGATTGCTGACAGTGTTAGCAGGGAAGGAAACGGCCAAGGGAGCTGGCAGCCCAGGGTCCAAACAGCTGTTCTGACCCAGGAGCCAAGTGCCCTGGGAGAATGCAGGCTACCGATTACTCCCGGGCCCCAGAGATAAACATCCAGGCCAGGTTAACAAGTTGTATCATTAGAATAGCAAGAATTCTGGAAGAGTTCTGGAATTGTGGGGACTGGTGAGGCAAACTGGCATTCACACAACAAATAAATGCAGTTAAAATTACGTTTTCAAAGAATAAATGGAAAATTTTAATTGTTCACTATTTAAAAGCATTAATTAAAGCAACATAATCTCAATTTTATTTAAAAACCACAGGGTGCAACACAAAAAGGAAATAGAAGTCACACTCACTCTCAGAGGTGGATTAGAGCTGGCTCTTATTTCTTCATACATTTCTATACTGCTTACCTCTAAAATATGGATTTACGCTTTGCTGAATTATGAAACATTTTCCACCAGAGACACTGGCCAGAGCACAGTAGAGAGGAGGGTCCCCACATCCTCAGCCTGCATTTATGCTAGCATTTCCAAACACACCCTAGCCCCAGCACTCGCAGAGTTAGCAAGCTCCAAGTCTCAGGTGGTACAATAATAAGGGGCTCTGGTAGCCTATTCTCTGGCCGTGGGCAAAGTACAATGTTCCCTTTCCCTCCATCTCTGGGTCCCTTCGGGGCTTCCTGCTGGTTGATAGGCCCTTCCAGGTACCTCCCCTTAAGTTTGGCAGCCCTGAGCCAGGGAATGAATCTACCAGACTCAACCTGCAGGGGTGCCATGCCCTTACCTTTGGCACCTCTATCTCCCAGATGATGAGGTCGACTTTGTTAGGGTTGGAGCCTGCCTGGGTATTGTGGGAACCGTTAGTCTTCTGCAGGCTGCAGCAGCTATCGGCTGAATCCATGCTGTTCCCGTCGGAACCTGTGAGAAGGAAGCAGCACACACACGCGCACGCACACAGCCCAGCTCAGAGCAGCCAATACCTCAGCACCCCGCCAGCTCCCAGACCCGGAGCCCCCACCCCACAAAACTTGGCAGGTGTCTCTCAACTCAGTCTAGAAGGTTCAGGATCATTCTAATGAAAGGAGGACTGGGGGTGTCCAGACACCTAATTTTAGCCTGTCACAGTCCCACTTGCTCAGTTGGCAGCCGCACCCTGCCACAGCTGCTAGAGCAGACACAAGTGGTGAACTGGGGAGAAGTGGCCTCCAGGCCCGTGGAGAGGGAGTTCACAGGGCAAAGAGCGAATAGTTCATGGGCTGGCACTGTCCTCTGAATCAGCCCTTTCTTACTGTCATTTTAACTGGCCCATACCCTCAAACCCAGGCCTACTTGTCCCCCAAGACTCCAGGGTTCCTAAGCACAGGCCTTCAGCCGGCACAGTGAAACAGTCCTCGGTGGCTTCGGGGCCTCATGCTCATCCTTTCCCAGGGCTGTGCTCAATCACCAGCCAGATGTGAACAAAGAAGAAGGGATTTCCTTGCCCTTGGCTTAAGTAGGACTTGTGCAACTGAATGCTGTTTGGGGCTCCCATATTCTCTAGTCAAAAGATCATGCTAAGGTTCATTCCCAACAGGACAGTGTGAAGCAGGGCTCTGGCACCAACCAGACAGTTGTTTCCTCTTACTCAAGAGCTTGTCCAAGGGATGATAGCTGCAAGAGAGGGGTCCAGAGACTGCTAAGGAGAAATAGCTCTGACTTAAATATGGATGGCTCAATCACTAGAAATAAATTGCTCCCAAGAGTCTGCTAATTAGGTTCTTTTCCACATGGTTTCCCAAACTCTAGGCCTAATCCCTTGCCAAACAATCCATGTGTACTGAGCCTAGATGCAGACAACCAAAGTGTAAAGAGACTTAGCTGCTCTCAGCTAAGGAAGAGTTGGCCTCACAGAGATTTCTCAATATTGGGAGTTCAGGACAGATCACACAGGGAAAGCCACCTGTGAACAAGAAGTGACCCCCGCAGGCCTACCAGATGTAGAGCAGTCTGGTGGGACTGGGGCTCCTTTCTAGCTCCAGCCTCTGTCCAACAGGACAGGCCTAGCCATGCCCCGCCTCCCTGCAGATGCCTAGAAGACTCTGAACTCCCAGGACCTCAGCAGGCTGCATTCAAAGCACACACCTATGCTTGGCTGGCACAGGAACGGCCACAGGCAGACCTCTTCAACAGAGATCAGTGCATACATGAGAAGGGGCATGATAAGGTAGATCAGTGAATCCAACTTTGAACTGGTTCCTTCTGATGGGCTAAGGGCTGGGGAGGATCACTGGTGGGCTACTGGATGACAGTTCTCATGACTGTGGCAGTGACATGGCAGCTAAGTTACACTTAGTTACCCGCCAATGCTCTGCCATGCCCAACTCTGCAGGCTGGCTGGGATTCAGGGTAGAAGAGGGCCCTTACCTTATGCAGAAGTGGCAGAAGAGAGAGGTGGACCAGCAGCCGTTCCCTAACAAACAAAGGGAGACCCCCGATCCTCTAAGTGAGCACCCAAGACCCTCCTACCTCCCGAATGATCTGCTTCTGCATCCATGGTCCATCCATCCTCAGCCCCCAAGTCTGACAACTCCCCCTTCAGCACCCCATTGCTGAAGGGCACAGTATTTTCTGGCAACGGTGGGGTGATGGATTTGTCCCTGGGGGTGGAGGTGGTCTCTGTGCAAGAGTCGCCGAGCCCTGAGGTGCTGACGGAGCACTGCCCCGAGGAAGTCACCGAAGCCATAGAACAGCCGTGGCCATCGTCTGACGTGCAGATGTCACACGTGGTATCTTCCACAGAGTCGCAGGAATCATCCTGCGCCTCTCCCAGTGAGGCAGCTGGTACTGGGCAGGGCGTCAGAGAAATGTGGTGGGCAGAGATCTTTGGCTTGCCATCCTTGATGGGGCTGGACAGAGGGCTGCTCAGGCAGCTCACATAGGTCTTTGGGGCTGACTGGTCTTCCACTGGCTGGCCCGGCAAGGGGAAGGCTGTATCCAATGGCTCAACAGCTGTCTTGGCTGTGGCCAGAGTGGGCTCCGCAGCCTCTTGCCCTGGAACAGTTCTCTGGCTGATGGGAGCACAGCCCTCCTCCTTTTGCCCTGGGAGCTGAGTGGTTGAGGCTTGATAAATACGACCTGCAATCTTGCCCACTGTGGTGGCCAGCACCTCTTCAGTTGCTTCCAAAATCACTTGAGAGATTATCTGAAAGGCAGCCTGCTCAATCTTCTCATTTGTATCCAAGGCCCCTTCTTTGCTCAGTTCTCCTATGAGTTCTTTGTCCTGGACTTGGCCACCTCTGACCTGGGTTGCGGGCAACTCATCATCTTTTGCCAGCTCAATGGGAGCAGACTCCACGAAGCTACTTAGCAACTTCCCCACTTCGCACTCTTCCTTCTGCACGGGCACGGACACAGCCACCTGGAGTGGGCTGCTCTGTCCCTTCTCCCCATCTCCTCCCAAGGAGGCCAGGCTAGGGGCCTTGCAGCTCTCTAACTCTGATCTTTGCTCCTGGGGCAAAAGACCTTCTTCCAGCACATTTTCTCCCAACACTGCATCACCAGTTCCTTCAGTCCCACCCGTTTCTTTTGCCTTCTCCCCAGGGCTGTGCTTCTCTGCGGAGGGTACAGACTGGTCAGGCCAGCTCCTCCCAGATACCCTGCTAGTCACGGACTCTTGCTTACACACCTCAGCTGCTTCGTGCAGGAACTGCACATCCTTTGTGGGTGGAAGGGGACACGCTGGAGGAATCGATTTGGCCTCATCATTGATTAGGGTAAATTCTACCTTTGCACTGTCATCTCTGCATGTTCCTGGCGGAGATCTGGCATCTGTGGCATTCGGAAGGCTGCCCGAGGACTCTGATCGATGCCTGGTTGGGTGCATCCGAGGCAAGGCTGGGGGCTCCACAGCAGGCTTCCTCGGTTCCTTCTCTGCTGGCAGGGTGACACTGAGGGGTGTGGACATTCCGCAACAGGCCTCTCCCATGGGGAGTGGGTCCTGGATGGCAGGGTCAGCCCTCAGCTCCACATCACTGGTCTCTGCCTGCCTATCATGGCTGCTGACTTGCTCTTTTTTGCGAGAAAAAAACCACCACCAGCCGAGGAGTGCCAGCATCCCAGGCAACGCCAATGGGAAGAGTGAGCGCAACTGGATTGCCATCCTTGAGGCTGGAAGTAATTAAACCTGGGAAGAGGAGGGGAGAGGGGAAGAAGGGTTGTTACAGGAGCCAAGTAAGAGGGCACGGACGACTGTGTGAACAGGTGTGATGAGGCTAACTGCTCCACCCACGCCAGGCCCAGAGCGGGGAGATGTGCTCTTGCACCCACGAGGAGATGCATCCCCACTCTAGTCTCTCATTCACACACACTTCTGTGAAACAAACGGAGCATTCTCTTCTTGAATCCAGACCCCTCCCTTCATCACTTCACAATGCCAAATGTTCTCTATGTCCCTCCAAAAAATCTGGTTAGGTTTAGGGTGGCTTAGTTCTCGAAATTATCCGAACAGGACTTCACAAAAAGCACAAGTCAACAACAACAACAAAAATACTACAATGAAAAGTATAGCAACATGAAGCCCGAAGGCAGAGAGAGGGAGCTATACCACACTCGGGACTCACACCATTTAGTGGGGCTGATCAGGGTGTCCCACGGCTCCAGTATAGTGTGGGCTTTATCCTACAGACACACCAGAACCAGTACGCACATGCAAAGCAGACACTTAACAGTATACTGAGTAAGGGAACATAGAGACCAAGCAAGAATAAATGGTAAGGGCCTGGAAAGGCAGTAGACACGTAAAAGTGATGGGGAAACTCAATTTTCTTCACGTGTATGATGAGGTCACAAGGACACAACTGAGTGCCACAAGGATTAGCTGAGAAATGTGCATTAAGTGCTCTGCAGAGTAAGCTCTCATTGAAGGCATAAGATAGTTTATTCATATCCAGGACCTCCCTGGTCAGCAAATTTTAGAACTACCTGCAAAAATTACATCTTCCCCAAACCGAACATCTTTTGATACGGTGACTCATATTTTATTTGGGTTTGGATTTTGTTACAGGGGTAACAACTGCAAATGCTCCAACAGCTTTTAGTAGTTTGAGTAATGTTCTCCAGGAAAACCAGGACATCAGTTCTTTCACCAGTTCCCCACATGATTCTATCATCCAGAGACTGGGAATCACTACTTTAGCACAGCGCTGTCTACTCACCAGGAACCTGCCAGACTTGACACGGCAAACAGGACCTGATCCTCATTTTAACAAGACACTTACAGGCATATCAGTCTGTGAAGCAGTGCTAGAGGTATTCTGCCCCCCAGTGATAGGTGAGGAGGGCCATTCCAGAAGGTTCATCCATCCTCAAAAGCAAGCCTTCTTGCTAATATGTGAAAACAAGGCATTGAGCTTGAAAAGTACAGGGCAGAGCTAAGCAGTGGCCAGAGTTAACTTGGCAGCAACCCCTCAGGAGAGAAAGTGATTATATTCTGATCCAAACACCCAGTCTTCTTAGTTGCTTTGCCTTTGTATCCAGCTAGTTCAGAATATATTTCTACCACAGAAGTTAAGATAACTCAAGGTTCTACAGTCAAGGGATAGGAACTCAAATTCTAGCTCACATTAACTCTGGAACAAGAAAAAGATACTACACTTCCTTTGAGAGCTTCAGTAATGGTTTTTAAAACCTTCTGATCATACCCTATGATCCAGAAATCCCACACCTAGAATCTTTTTTGTATATTATTCTTCATTATTGTTTTATGACACAGTTCCATAGGCTCTGGGATTTCCTGTCCTCCCCAAGTTCCCTCTTCTCCCTCCCCTTGTCACTTATTCCCCCTCTAGTATTACAATGAGTGGTCCTTCATGGACAGTCATAAGTCCACCATGCTGTTCCTGAAGTGTTTCCTGACATTGTAGGCATGGACAATGTTGGAGAGCCCAGCATCTCACTCTTAGGATATTTTCAGCTGTTTCACTGGGAGTCCATCTTTGGTCTGGATGCATAGAGACGTCCTGCACTTTGTCTCCACATCTGAACATACCAGGCTCCACTACACTTCTATTAATACACCCCCTTAACTACAGAGCCGGTGAACACAGTCCACAACGGGGAGAAAATCAGAAAATTTCATCAATATGAAGCTAACAAATATGCTACAAAAATACCAACGCGTTGTTAGAGCCACATCTAGACTCTTACAAGACCTCATACCTCAGCACAGGCTGAGGTCTCCAGAAGAATGACCACTAAGTTATCATATGAAACAAAACCAAGATGGACCTTTCAGGAAAGCCACTGACCCATGAGTCTGTGCACTTATCAACACTAAAGAAAGAAGCTGATTTCTTCTGTCAAGCAAGAAGCATTAGGACACTGGAAATTATAACCCCACGGGAAAAACTGGGAAGGGCACAACCAAGCCATTGAGTTGTTGGAAAGGGAGACTTCAGCACACAGGCCTTGTATCCTGCAAACCAACTGCACTCACCTAACAGTGCTAAGGGTTTTTAGTAGGTTCTTAGGTATTTCTTACCAAAACAATCATGTATTTGGGGAGTCGTAATTTCTCTAACTTGGACTCACATCATCAAATGGGAAGCTTCCAAGGCCAAGAGGGAATCCAGACCAATCGAATGAGGATCTAGGGAGGGCAAAAGCACAGGTACCAGGGTTTGTTTGTTTCTCTCCCCGCCACCCGCATTTTTTAAAATCTATTTGTTTTTATTGGAAAGTCAGATTTACGGAGATAAAGATCTTCCTTCCTCTGGTTTTGGCTGCAACAGCCGGAGCAGAGCCAATCCAAAGCCAGGAGCCAGGAGCTTCTTCCAGGTCTTCCATGTGAATGCAAGATCTCAAGGCTTTGGGGCCATGCTCTACTGCGTTCCCGGGAAACAAGCAGGAAAAAGCTGGAAGGTAAATGGAGCAGCTGGGATACAAACCAGTGCCCATATGGGATCCCAGCACATGCAAGGTGAGGACTTTAGCCACTAGGCTACCATGCCAAGCCCAATATCAGGGTTTCTAAACCCAAATGATTCTTAATATGGATTTAGTTTTGAGAATCTACTGTTCTGTACCAAACACACACAGAGAGAAAAAGCAAAGTGCATGGGGCCAGCGTTGTGATGCAATGGTTAAAACCAATTCTTGTGAGGCTGGCATCCATTATCAGAGCACCAGTTCAAATCTCGACTGCTGATCCAGCTCCCTACTAATGTGCCTGAAAAAAACAGCAAAAGATAGTCTGGGTAGTTGGTTACTGCCACCCAGGTGAGAAACCTGGACAGAGCTGCTGGCTCCCGCCTTCAGATTGAACCAGCCCCAGTAACTGTTGCCATTTGGAATGAACCTGTGGGCTGATTATCTTTGTGTTTTTCCTTTCCGTGACATTACGTCTTCCAAATAAATCTTTAAAAAAATTTGCAAGTTTCATGAGATTTGATTTGTACTGGCTGCGTGTTCACATCATATTTAAAAAATGACAATCATTTGGAAAAAGAAAAAAGGATGGCTGTCCATGACTAGCAGAGCCCGTGCTAGCAGCAGGTACAGCTAGAGTCTGCATGCAGGTCTCTACCTGGTCAGTATGTCTAGGTTACCCAGGAAATCCCTTTGCAACAGGAATTATAATTGTGATAACCACTGTATTCTAGCAACTCTCTCATCACAAAAGAAAGGTGAAATGTGCTGGGATAGAGGAAAAGAAGAATCCTTTCCACCACCCTACAGAAGGCAGTCTCCCGTTTTGCACCTAGAACATAGATTCACGTTGGGGTGTCTAAGGGAGCAGTTGCTGCTCATGACCTCTAACAGCTGGGAGAAGTGCTGCCCTTTTGGGACTAAATGTTGTCCCCAGGAGTCCCACCTCTCCTGAACACCCCAACACGCCAAAAGCTCATTATGCTCACACAGGAAGGAACCCACACTGACACCCACACTCAGGCAAGTTCCATAGCAGCCCAGCCTTTGGCTCACCAAGTCATGGTACTCCCCACTCCAGCTGCTCTGACAGTCCTGGCTCACCAAGAAGGTAGCCAGACACATTCCTGCCTCCTGCCTTGTAGCTCACTGGTACAGACATTACTGTACTTAGCCAGCCATGCCTCCCACTTCTGCTTGGTCCCTGGACACTGAAACTCTAAGCCCCAGCGCCAAAATCTCTAGCCCCTACAGTCAGCTGGAGCTCCATAGCAGAGAATCACTGCCCAGGAAGCATGGTGTCTGCAACACTTCTGAGCCAGCTGCCCTATGGTAGTGTCATGGAGGCTGCCTAGGAAAGACTGAATATCCCACATCCATGGAATCCTGAATGTCCCATCCAGCATCCCTATACCCCAAAAGCTGGCTATGCCCACTGCCCAAACCCCACCACTCATGGACTATAGCTTGAGATCTGCCACTGGGGAACCAGGTATCACCGCTCAGGACAAAGTCCTTCTCTCCACAGCTACTTCTAGAACAGCAACTGCCTACCAGAGGTCTCCACCACCATGCAGAACCCCGGCATGAGATCCCCAGAGGTGAGAGGAAAATCAGGTTTATATCTTCCCTGCTGCCAAGGGATTGTGATTGGAAACATGAGCCATTCCCTCCATCAAAAGACACAAGTTCCCAGGACCAGCAGTTGAACCACCTAGGGCCTCAGCTGCAACTTACTGAGCCACATTGAATCTCCCCAACTGTGTCCACTGAGCTCCTCAGGTGAGTGGCTGATGGCCTGCCCTCCACCAGCCCCTACTTCCCAGAGGTCAAGAAAACAACTTAAAGGGCAGCAGGCCTTTGGAAAAACCTGGATTGAGTTCCTGGATCCTGACTACTGCAAGCATTTACAGAGAACTAGCAAATGCAGAAGATTCTGATTCTCTCATTCATTCATTCTCTCTCTGCTTTTCAAATAAATAAATTTTTAAAAGAAAAAAAAAAAAAACCTTACTTTCACACCCCTGAGACCACTTGATCTCGTGCAGACACCCTGAAAACTGGTAAAATGCCATTTCTCCTGACTTACATAGTCTGAGACTGCTACCTTCCTTGCGTCCCTGAAAACAGACTCGGTCTTAATCCTTAATCTTGACCTCAAAATTTAAGAGGCATTCATCCCTGTAAGTCCAAAAACCTTCACACTCCAAAGATAATGAGGCTGCCTCTTCCCACAGCTGGATCTCCTATGCAGGGGCC